GCGTTGCCCATGCGATTCTGTAATACGAGTGGATTCCCCCTTGCAATCCGTCTGACTGACTCCAAAATGCGTTTGTACGTTTTGTATGAATGCAACTGTATGCTTGTTGTAGTCTCTTGTTGTAGTCTCTTTGCCCACAACTCCACGCTTTTTCCCGTATAACGTTATTGCTTGGGGTAGTCATCCTGTCTTTTATCGGTCCACCTTTAGCAGCTGTATCCCCACTTGATTCCCATGAGATGCAACTACGATGGAGTCCAAACTGGTCGTCATGGCCCATCTTGTGCAGTTTTAATGAAGTTGATGAAGTCATTTGCCACTTGATAATGGACTGGAAATGACCAACTTTAGGAGAACTCAATTACTGCCGTATCAGCGCGTCTACAGCCATCGTTGCGGTGACGCAATCCCTCCATCACCTCCCCTTCGAGGCGTCCTGCGTCCGTTTCACCCGCCCTAGTTTTGCGCAAAACGCAGGACGGAAACCCGCATTGACTTGCCTCACCTCCCGCCCGGAGCCCGACAGCGACGGCTTTGGGCTTTGACCGTTGGGCGGAACTGCCCGATCGCCCTAACCTCGTCCCCGGTCGGTGCGGAACAGAGACACACCGCTCCCTCCCGCCAGAGACAGTCCGCGCGGGGGGCGGCCTGTTCCGTGCAAATTGCCCTCCCAGGCGCCGTTGCCCCAGATGAGCACCGCGGTGGGTCCCCCCACGGCGCCGAAGTGCATCCCCCGCGCGCTCTTGCCGCGCGCGATGCCGATCTCTTGAATTGATGTTGGGGCGCGGCTGCGCAGGTTGACGATCAGGAGGATGCCGCCAGTGCGTCCGCCCTGCCCTCCGAAGGTGGGTGGACGATCGGCCTTGCGTGTCGCTGCCGGGCCCGGGGCTCGAGGCGGGATGGTTTGCGGCGTCGGTGACACCCGCCCGCGTGTGGCGTGCTTCCGCAGTGCAGAGCGGGGAGCAAAAGGCTGTCCTGAAGCTGCTGGTCTCCAACGCTGTCGCGGGCTCTATAATCGGCAAGGTGGGTGGGTGTTCTCGGTCTCCAAGCAACATGCAGCCCTATGTGTTATTCGGCCGACAGGCCCGTGGCGACGCAGACTGGGCTGATGCTGACAAAGTCAGGTCACTTTTGCCCTCTCAGGGCGGCGCCACCATCAGCGAGTTTCAGCAGTCCTCGCAAGCGAGAATCCAGCTGTCGAGGGCCGGGGAGTACTTCCCAGGTGAGTGCGGAGGACGGACCGGGCGGCGTTCACACGCGCACCTCGAGCGGCGGCCCCTGAGTATTGTCACTGGCTGCGCTGCAAGGCACGAAGGAGCGCATCGCTGTGATCTCGGGCACCCTGCACGCCGTGCTGACGGCCGTCCACCTGGTCCTGGGCAAGATAAAGGAGGAGGCCGCGGAGGAGGAGGATGAAGAGGAGGAGGAGGGCGAAGAGGACGAGGACGTCGGATCGGAAGGCGGCCTCACGGTGCGGCACGGATGCGACCAGGCCGGTCGGGACAATTCTGACTGGGCGGTTTGGCAAGCTGCCACGAATGGGCCGCTTCCGTCGGTCGCGAGAGAGGATAGGTTGTGAAATTTGGCGCGCTTGAGAGGCGGAGTGCGTGCGATTGTTGGCGCTGATGGCGTTGACGCGGGTCAGCCTTGGCGGACTGACGGTGTCCGGTGTGTGCAGGTGAAGCTGTGCATTCCCATTCGGCTTTGCGGGGCCATCATAGGCAAGGGCGGCCACACAGTGCGCGCCTTCATGGACGACTGCAAGGCGGACATTAGGTGGGCGGTGCGTACCCTACCGCGCAGGGTGGTTCATGCATGATTGCCCTGCCAACAGCACATTTGGCTCCATTCAAGCACTTCCTTGCTCGACACTTGGGCTTGGCCCAAGTGGAAGGGGTGTCAGGCTGTTTTGTGCTTTGAGGCTGGCAGGACCAAGCACAACCACGGGATGGGTTACTGGTTGGTGGATATATTGGAAACTGTGCTTGCATCGGACTGGCACACAGCACTTTTACAGCGTTGGCACTCCATGAATGCTGTTCAACAGCAACGCTCTTGCTTTGATGCGGGCTTGATATCCTGTCCACCTGTCGCACGTGTGAGTCGCTGAATAGCCAGTGCATTGGTATCTCAGCTCCCAGCCACTGAAACCGACAACATTAATTTTGCAGGATCCAAGGCCAGGAGCAGTTGCTTCCTGGTGTGACAGAACGCCTGGTTACAGTGAAAGGGATGACTCCACAGATAATGCGGGCATTTGGTCTCATCCTCAGCAAGGTCAGGGAGCCTTCTTGGCTACGAGTCTTTGCTACACTTCCTGTTCCACTTAGCCCCCTGCCAGACTTGTGTTTTGCAGCAGCGATTTAGCAAGTGTATTAAAGCAAGTTTGTGCACCACTTGACTGCACATGTGCAGTATGTGCATCAATCTGGCACCTCATTTGCTCTTGCGTTGTGTCTCAGTTGTCTGAAGACCCAAAATATGCTACACTTCCTGTTCCACTTAGCCCCCTGCCAGACTTGTGTTTTGCAGCAGCGATTTGGCAAGGGTATTAAAGCAAGTTTGTGCACCACTTGACTGCACATGTGCAGTATGTGCATCAATCTGGCACCTGATTTGCTCTTGCGTTGTGTCTCAGTTGTCTGAAGACCCAAAATACGATGAGTATGCCGAGCAGCCCATTGCCCCGGCCTCTCGTTACCGGGGACCATCAATGGCGACGCTGTCAGCATACGGTGGGTTGACTGACTACACACTCCTTGCACAATAGGGATGGCAAACCCAGCAAGACTTCTTTGGACACAGGAGTAACCAAAAAACGTGAAGAGCTGTGTGGATGGTGGGCATGGCTTCTCCAGAAGCACAGTTTCTGGCTTTTGTGTGTGTTTGGCAGCATTTTGGTTCCATTTACCATAATGTGAAACGTGCTCTGCATGCTGGGCAGCTGAGAGGTGGCTGACATGTGCTGAATGTGGTTCCACGTACTTCTGTACCAGTTGCTCCACTTGCAAGTGCACCAACAACAGTGGTCATGGAGGTTTCAAATGCTGATGCTGGAGCCATTCTGGGGAGAAGAGGAAGGAACATTGCAGAGATCACACAGGTGTGCAACTGCAGATATGGAACAGTGATTTGGGTGAGAGCAGCAAGGGCGATGACCACGCACCAGTGGGACGTCTGATCAAGTACAGCACAGCCATGACCATTTTTTGAATGCACAGTGGTCAAATGTGGCTTGGAGATCGGTTTCAAAGCGTGTTAGGGGTGCAAATATCAGCTCCCGTGGGAAGACGAGGCGAATGTGGGCGTTCGATGTCCCTGTTGTGTGCGCACAAATGCAAATACAGCATGCCCCATGCCCAGAGGCAATTGAAATAAAGGCTGCGTTTGTTTTAGCAAGGGCTGCATGCAATCCTTTCACAGTTGTGTGCCATTGATATTGAGCAGATGAAACGGTGTTGCAAAGTGTCTCCTTGCTGAGTGCTGCCAGGCGTTGGCCTGGCTACATCCTGTATTATCTTCTGTAAATCAGTCCAGTGTTGTCCACCTCCTAAAAAGGTCAGGTGCATGGGAGTCTCCCACAGTGATGAAGCCAAGATGGTATCTTACAGGAAACTGCAACACCTGGAATTCAGTGGTCTTTGCCAGTCCAGAGGGCTGATGCGAGCAAACGAGCTGGAACCTTCACATCCTTCTACTGGGGGCCTGTAATGCATGTTGAACTGGCATAGTCCAGCAACTTGTGTGGTGGCAACCAACCACAGTACTGTAATAGTAAATGCTGTGATCTGCCATGCAGGTATCCAGTGCCCGTGTGAAGGTGTCAGACAGGGATGACGTAAACCCAGACACAGGCTGCAGGAAGGTCACGATCACTGGCACACTGGAGGCTGTCCACTTGGCTCAGTTGCTTGTATGCCAAAAGGTTGGCATGTCCGAGAATGCAGGTGGCAGATACAACAACAATGGCCGCCGCTCCGTCTGAAAGGAGATTTAAAGGCGTGCCAGTGTCTCACTGCAGGCGCCTTCACTGCAGGGGCAAAGTGCCGAATGCGCCCCCCCTTCCCTCAATAAGTGCCTTCGACCATGCGAGCTTTAATGAGACTTTGGGATTCCTGAGGGGTGGGGGTTATTTTGCATCTTGGACGCCCCCTGGCCACTGGAGTGGCCTACCCTCAACCATGCACTGCTGCTGGATGTCTGTGTGATCCTGCGAATCGTTGCCTCGGATGGGCCGCCATTGGGGCCTGTGGGCCCACACCAAGGGCCTGTCTGTCATCGTAATGGTGATGGGCTCTGCAGGGCATGCTCCTTGCACTGGAGTGTGCATGGCTGACATGCACGGCTCAGTCTGCAAAGTGTTTTTGCACATGCTCAGGCATGTGAGTGGCGTTGCCACTGGTGGCGACTTTGCTGGTCATGTGGACTGGCAAGTGGAGCAGAGAGTCCACCAGTGTGGGCGGAGTACAAAGGTGTCTTTCATGTGCGCATGTGGTGGTAGCCAGAGCAGCCAATTTGCAGCACAACTGGTGAGAATGTTTCGATCTCGGAAATGTGGGATCTGCGATGTAGATGGCAATTCGATTGCCAAAGCCACAAGTTTGCACTGGCAAAGTACCTTGTGCTCTTCTCCAGGCCTGTGCTTCGTAAAAATGGAGCTGTCAGTGTGATTGCAGGAAGGCTCCATCCACCCCAATGTTGTGGCTAATCCCAGGCTGGCAGAGCATGTTGCATCAGCTGGTGGGCGTAGTACCTGAAGCACTTGAATGCGCAATGTGGAACTTGCGCGAATCTGTAGCCGGATTTGCATTGGACGATGCAGTCTATGCCTGTCCCATCCTTCTGAGGCGTTGTGATGCATATTCACTCTTTGCCTGTGCATCGTTGGAACAATTTTCAAGGATGATTTTTGCCAATGGGCGCCAACCACAACTGCCTTTTGTCTGCAATGCCGTGATGAATGCCAAGAGTGAGCATGTTGCTTAGGTTTGTGTCCGATCGTGTTGTGCATGAGAGCTTCGATTTTGCGGGCATGGTCCCTGGGATCAGCACCCAGTTTCGTCAACACTATTGTAACTCGACAGCAATAGCGTTCCGGCAGAGGTCGTGTTTTGGATCCAAATAAGCAGTACCAAACTCGATCCGGTAGCAAGGCTGTCGTGCTTTTCCTCCAGCTTTTGAGTCGCCGCTAACCATTGATATAGCTGATACTCGGGCATGCACGTCCTCGCCCAATCACATTGTGTTGGACATATCTGGTGCAATACAACCACAAATTCTTGCCACCAAGGTAGTACATAGTACTTCCGAAATCAGTGTTGATGATCTCGAATCGCACCACGCAGATTCACCCACGTGCAGCCACAGGGCGTTAAGGTCAACACACAGCGTTTGCGGACCGCGTGACAGACCTTGACCATGTGTCGAAGTTTCTGGCTAAGTCTTGCAATTTCAACATGATGGCCAGTCGGCATCATTGGGTCCATCGCCCCCAAATCTTAAGGGCGCACTAAGAACTCCAAATGAGGTGGTGGTGTGTTTTTGAAGGACAATGACCAATGCTGTTACTGAATATGTCCTCTAGAGATAACGAGTGACAATTACTGTCGGACGGAGGGTATTGTATGTCGTGACCACCAGAAATGGGAAGATTTGGTGAATCGAGTCCATGCAGCCAGAACAGCGGAAGCGCGACTTCTGTAATTGATACTCGCAGCTGCAGATCCTATTAGAAATGCCAAGAACAGGCAGATTGCTGCCCACAAACCAATCGCCTTCGAGAAATTATGAGTGCACCCAAGAAGCAGCCGCGAGAAACCTCCCTAGCACCGTCCCCACCCCAAGAATTCCCCTGCGCGCTCGTTTTTCCAAATCAATCTATGCATTCCAGCCTCAGCTTCCCCCGTCTGGGATCGCCTTCCTGCAAATCCGTCCCAACTGCCGCCACTCCTTCGGCAGCCACAATTGCGCACCCCAGGCGGCCAACTGTTGTCTTGCCCACCCCAAGCAGGCTCGAAAGTCCCAGATCCTCAGCTTTGTTTGTCGCTATGGCTTCCTGCACAGCCTGTGCACTTTCAGCGTCAGCCGTGGCATCCACAAAACCCTCCACACCGCTGAAGGACACTTCCGACCCAGAGCTGCGTGAACTTGCGACGGCTTCTACGGTCGACCGGGACCTTGTTCCACCCTCTCTGTTGGCTGCGCTTTCAAACAGGTTTAAATATGCGCGAGTGACGGCAAACAGGTTTCCGCGGGCTGCAGCAGAAGCCCCGCCATCGGTTCCGCCACCGTTGCTCCCTGCGGAGTGGTAGTCATGCTCAGAAATATTCACCGAATGGGTTGTCTGAAAGAGATGCGGAGCAAAGCCGTAACGCTAAAACTATTGTTGGTGCGGATGGGTTGAAAACACTGCGGTACGAATAGTACTCTTCTGAAGGGATCGGAACGATAAAAACGAAAAGCAATGCTCAGAGTGGTGTGCGTGGGAAATTTGGTTCGCAATATGATCAGAGCCAGGGAGCAGGTCGAAAGGGACCACGAATGAACAGACGATCAGGATGCAAGGGAACTGTCTTGCGCGTCCAATGCACTGCTGTGGGGTGCAAATGAGAGGGAAAACTCGGACACCGAAATGCAATGGAAAAGTTTTGCTGAATCGCTTGGCGAGACTGTGAGGCGTCGCCCTCGCTTCGGTGACCCTCGCGTTCGGATCATAAAATATTTGATAATATTTCGGGTCGCCACTCTGCTACACATTAGCACAAGATGTGACGCGTTTCTTCCCAATCGGAGGTCGATTTTTTCGCTCTTTCCTATCTGTCTCGCATGGATGTTATTTTCTTGAGATGGAAAGCGCGACAGGCGAATTTCCAGCCAATTGTCTTTTGTTGTGTGTTCTTTTATTTGTTTCTTCCTTGCATGGATGCATCGACATGATGTCACGGCGTCGATCAATGTAGCGTACCAACCAGTGTGCGCGGGGCTCGTCCGGGCCCAACTCTATAACCGAAAACACGCCTCTAATGGCGGCCACAGCTGTCACCGAACCCCTGGAAACTCCCCCACCAAAACAAATGTCTTTTGTTGGTTGGCGCCCTCCCACCGTCGGCCAGCTGATGCACTCTTGGCTTCTTCCGGCAAACGAGCAAATTAGAGATTGGCAATTTCTGCATTACAATGAAATGATTGCTTTCTGAATAGCCGAACTGGCTTCCAGTGCCCCGCGTGGCATCCGCAGGCCGACGACCGGCAATCTATGAGGCATCGCGCGTCACCCACCGACATTCAAGTAGGCATCCGCTTCAGCCTCCACCCCTTCCGTCCCTGGGAAGGGTATTCCTGCGCTGAAGGCGAAGGACGACGCCACTCCACCGTTTCTGTTGAACGTCCCAGATGCGATGTCGTACGAAAGTCTGTTGTTGGACCGTCGGGCGGCACCCACAGCCGTGAACGGAGATTTAACCTGGACTCTGAAGCTGGGCAGAAATTTCAAATCGCGTCCCGTGAGGCCTGCGTGTTGTAATGGCACATGCCTCAACCTACCCTCTTCACCCAAATTATCATATAGAAAGACATACAGGTGTAAATTGAACAATGTAAGCCAATTGCACACACACCTTTCAATCACCTTCATTTTTTTTTCGCGAACGACTTAACTTACCCGTTCACGGGGAGCGAATAAAGGTCCCTTCAGAGCTTTTGGTCGACCTATATGATCCGGTATATTATGAGCGAGGTTTCGCCACAAAGGAATATGATGCGACTGTCGATCATTCCCCACCATTGGTATTTAGATCCGCTCCATCGTTTGTATTGTAATCACTTCACTGTTAAGACAATGCCGATTCTCGTATTGATATGATGAGCCCCGGGAACTCAGTTGAATGGAGTATCTTCATTGGCCAAGGGTCGGCCGCACCATTCCTTCCTTGCTCTGCCATGACTGCATCCTCGCAATTGAGCATGTCGAATTTGTGCAATCCTTCTGAGGGGCAAATGCATATGAAGCGCCGCCCTTCCGGCTCGCAGTCCAAGACCCCTTGGGATGGACCTCGGCCTCTCCTGATGCACAAGCCCCCACCATTTCCGCACCCGAGTCGTGCCATCATGCTTCGCAACTGAATATCGGATACGCATCGCGGATGTCGCGACAGACCATCGGGACGTTCCACGCGCCATCACTGCGGATCTGCAGCCTGCAGGGGGCCCAAGCGCGCAGGCCCCTCGGCTGGGCCGCCCCAACCACCTCCCACCAGAAGCCCAAGAAGGCACTGCGCATCGCTGCATGGCAATGGTCCATGGCGCAACAGCCCCTGTCTTTGCCTCACCGTGCAGTGCCGCTTCGTCATCGATCTCGGATGCCGACGCGCAACACAAGCTCAAGAGCGCAAGTGACACTGTGCACGTGCGATGCCGATGCGCGGACATCCGGTGAGTGAAGCCGCAAGCTGCCGTGCGGGTCCAGCGACTTCCTCAATGTCGTGGGCAACGAGGAGTGCTGCAATCCGCAAGGGGTCGCCCCTAGGGACCGTCGGTCATCGCGAATCTGCCAAGATCATAATTCTTGGAGCGAGCACGAGCGTCGCCGATGTTCCTTGGCGATCGTCGGCCTGGCCGACGTGATGGCGGAGCGATCAGTTATTCCGAGACGGGCGCCGATCATGAACGGCTTATCCCTTCAGTTGTGGCAGAACGCCGTGGCCCGGGCGCGACAACGGGGGGGATTCGGAAAACGGATAGTGTGATGAGGTTGAAAGGCAAGAATGGAGCACTCCACTCATGAAGAAAAGCACATATTTCTTGCTGCCAGCCGGTTTTAATTGCTTGTCCTGTTGGACTACAGGACGGCACCTCGGCTCGTGCTGCAACGTGTTTCTTGACTGCCACAGTCCAATCCCCATGCCCTGTGATCCAATTATCGGTGAAGGACCAATCGCCGCAATGAACGACGGCAATCATCTGCCAGACAAGGGGGCATTGGACACATGGCCAGCTGTGAATTTCACGCCTTCGCATTTTGCGCACTCCATAGTGCTGTGGAGCGAGGAATTGACGTCAGAAGTGCATCACACAACGTTCCACCACAAACCAGGCACGACATTGCAAAACATGATAAGAAGGAAACCAGAGGGACATTACCATAGCCGTGCAATCGAGCATGCCGGGGTTTGATCATTTATTCGTATTTGCGCGAACTACGTGAGCCTCATCTCCAGCAGAAGCGTGGGGTACATTACTGCTGCTTTCATTATGTTTCAAATGCCAACACTTGGCCCATCCACCAATGAAGCAACGCAGCTCCAACTTTTCTGATTATTGGATGAAGACTGTATGCACCAGAAATTGGGACCCAAGAAAATGGAGATTGCACAGACGCTACCGCCAGGACATGCGAGAGAGCAATTGTCAATCAACAACCGCCTATCAACAACCCAACAGCAGCTGCCCCTGCTGCGACTTGGCTGACAGCAACACAACCCCGAGATTATGTGGCGCCGCCCAAATCACAGAATGTGCCCCCCAATGAGCAGAGCTGACACACAGCGGCACAGAGAATTATGCGAAAGGGTGATTCCCAACGATGCAAACGTATGTGCGTTGCTGTCATCTTCACATTCGGTTGTGTGCAATTCTCGTCACTGCATTTGTCAAGGTAGACGAACACATCCAGGAGCGTGCAAGGTGATCAGGAACGTGCTGAATGGCGTTGTGAAGAATGTCCAAAGCCCATGCGACGGTACTGCAGTGCAGGAAGGCAGCTGGCGAGTTGCAGTTGTAACAGAGAAGCTGCCTGCACAGCTTGAACGGTTGCCTACTATGGGTTGCCCAGTGGCTGTACTTCTAAGGACATTAATCGGCGGTTTATAGGTCTGGTGCCCGTGGTTGTCCCCTGGACGCTCAATTACATTGTGGTCGGATGCTGGGGGCGGTGGCCAGGTCCTTGACGCATTGCAGTGCACGTTGCTTTCCTGATCTCAAACTTGCACATGCGGGTGCCCCTGGGTGGGTGTTTCTTGCTGGTCGTCTTCCGTGCTCATCCTGTTGGCTGTGGAGACTCTGCCTCATCTGTCGCAGTATGGAAAAGTGTCTCTACCTGCTTGGGTGGATTGCCCACCATCGGGCACGTTTCTCTGTTGTTAAAACTTCCTATCTTTGTGCGTTTTGGTGCCTGTCCGAAGGGAGATCTGTGAGCTTTCCTTCGCTGTTGCCTTCTGTTGCCAATCATCATATCGTTACATCTGAGCGCTGTCAAATTGAATGGAATGACAATGTAAGTTGAGAGTATCATCTATACATGCAGCACCCCCGACTCAACGACACTTGATGCACTTCTTGCTGCCATTGGGGCCATTGTTGCCCCAGCCTGCCGCATTTTCTGCAGAAAGCTCCAAGCAATTCCACGCCTGGCCATGCCCCATCAGTCTAAGAAAGGGAGAAAACCGCACAAAGCTATGGTCCAGAACCCGGCCAGCCCACAACTAAAAGAAAACAGCCTCATCAATTTTGCTCGGGTGCCCCCCCCCAGGGGGAGGGGGAGGGGGAGAGGGGAGGGGGAGGGCCCTCTTGCTTTGTTCATTAAACAATGAATCTTAAGCCTACAGATGGGACACCTTGCAGCCCTCAGCTGGCGTCCTGGGGTCCCCTGGCTCCACGCCATCCATCCGGAATGCCCGCTTCAGCAATCCTCTCAGTACCTCCTCTCTGTACTCCTTCCCCTTCTCCTCTCGGAACCTCCTCTCAGTACTCCTTCGCCTTCTCCTCCTTCCACAGAAAGCCCGCCCAGCTCGCCACGCCGCGCCGCACCGGGCGCTCCCTGGGCTCCCTGCGCCGCAGGTCGCCCCGGGCCAGGGGGCCCTCCGGCCTGGCCTCCCTGGTGCCGCAGTACACGACGTAGAACATAGCCAGGGCCGCCAGAGTGAAGACGCTGAGGACTGGGTACGCCAGGCCGGTCTGCTCCACCCGGGCGCCCCGCAGCGCCCGCAGCCGCTGGGCTTTAAGGGAGCCGTCGCACGTGAGCGCCTCACAGAAGTACTGCGTAAAGTACTCGTGCAGGTCCACGGACACCGCGCCGCCGTCCAAGGGGAAGCACTCCGACGCCAGCAGGCCGCACTGCCGCTGGCGCCTCTGCTGGTCGAAGGCGGAGCATGGGCTGACGGCGTGGGCGTCACCGGGGATGGCGTCGTTGGCCAGGTCGTCGCACAACAGCAAGGGGCACAGGTCGGCCAGGCACACATCCGCGGACGGCCTCACCTGGGGCCCCAGTAGTGCGGTGAGTCACTGCAGTTGTTGTTGTGAGTTGTTATGAACTAATCAGTAAACAAAGGATCAGCTGGCATCAATTGGCCAGAACTCTGTCAGCGAAAATCAGTTGGCACGAAATCGATGGTCGTTTGATTCTGCTTTTGCTCGATTCCAGAACAATAAACACATTGCACCATCCTCACCTTGTGTTCGAATTGTGCTGCAAGCCCTTGCTGCAGTTATGAGGCAATCAGCTGGCATTGTTGTTCATGATTTCTAACTCGAAGCCAATGCACAGGGGTGTCAAAAAAAGACACATAAAGGCTTGCAACAGAGATCTCACAGTGTGGTGTGGCCTCACCTGGTCAGCGTGACGCCTGTCCAGGTGACCATCCACGTAGTGTTCGTTCCTAAAGACCTGCACACGCAGCAGAGATTGCCTGTTAAGCCCTGATCTCTGAGTGTTGAGCAACAACAATGTGAGAATTCAGCAACAACCCTGTGAAACTTGGAGCCTGCTCAGCAGCATGCAGTGAAGTACTATCAAAACACTGCAAGCAAACAGCTGGTGGCAATACATTATATATAGCTGGCATATTAGCTTGACGCTGGTGGAGGATACACACACACTGCCACCACCACCTTCTGGCTTTCTTTTGGCTATGAGCAAATTGCTGGCAGCACTAGTTCTATGCTCGCACTGTGCTGGCCCATCACGTGATGCGTGGGGTTGTGTGTAGGCGTGGGGAGGGACTGACTTGGGTCTCAAGGCTAACATTTCTGTTGTCAGGAAGGGGAAGGGCACCTGGGCTCTCCAACGTGAGACAATAATTTGGAATGGAAGAAAAGCATTGAAATTGCCCACCCTCACAACCATGGCAACCTTCCCTGATTCAGCTCTAGTCGACATAAAACCCTCTGCTCAGGCTGTGCATGCCGCTACGCTCAGGTGGTGTCAATCAATCGGCCTGCACTGTCATTCCCAACAAACGACTATACATTTAACAGCCAACATTCTGTGGCAAGGGTAGATAGGGTTGGACAGGAGTGGTGGCTGACATCTGACAGCCAAGGGCAGATGGCAACAGTAACGGGCAAGCCCAAAGCTGTCTTTTGACAAGCTGGGATCGTGCTGTGTGGGAAGCACACCTGTTGCTCTGGTCTGCAGTATCCCAATAACATGCACACCATGGCATGGGGCTGCCTTTTTCAGCCTTTGGTCCCTCAGAGGAATTAGAACACCGTGCGATGCAACGCTTACACGTGTAGCAGGCTGCTGTCTCCCAGATTCCCTTGATCCCACAACATCTCCACGCAAGTATGTCAAGAGGATCAAATAGACAAACATTCCTATGTCAGGGTATTTATTGAGAGTATCAGAGAGTCAAAATTTTGTGATGCTTCGGTATTTGTGGACTCAAAAAACACTCGAAATTAAAAGTTCTGCAGAAGCAGGATGGCAATATCGCAGCACTAGGGGCACACCCATTACCTTGCCACAGAAGTTGCACTTCCAGGTTCCCCGTACCCCCAACGTTTTCTGACTCTCTTGCCATGCATACATGTCTCGACTCTCTTCCAGCCGGCATCTGGAGGGAAAATGGTACTCCCGAGCATGGAGTTCTGGCAGCAAAAACTGATTCACCAGCCGGTCAATAGGTTCGAGTGCTTTCCACTGCATGCTCAGTTGGCCACTGCAAACTAATACCGATGCGCAAGCAGATACGGTAGCGTCCCAAGAGCAAAGATATCGAAAGGACAACACTGATTGTGGACACTAGCAAACATTTAAACGCCCATACTCCAAACGATGGCCGCAGGACGCGACATTTTTGTGGCCTGCGACAGCACTAGCAGCAATTCCAAAGAAGGCGAGCATTTGCTATCTAGCCATCATGGTATCCTTTTAATTGCTTAGAAGGCTCGATGACGACAAATTTTCCGAATCGGGTATCGCCAGGTACACTTCCGCACCTGGCGGATGATCTCCCTGGCGTGTCGGCTGGCCTCCCGATCACAAAACGCTGGAGCCGCGAATGCGCCCTTTTCTTCTTCAGCGGCGCCGGCTACCGGAAGCAACACCACGCCGAGCAGCGTCAACGCCAGCGCTCTCGTCCAGAGGGCAAGAGCCGTGTGCATCGCCGACGGAATCCGCGAACACCACAGGGAGGCCTTGCTGCCGCTTCCAGTTGCAGTAGTAGTTGGCTGCCTTTCTGAGCCGCAGTTCCTAGAAGGTGGAGCTTAGTTTAGGATTCTCCCAGGCAGCCCAAACGCAAGAACTCCGAAGCTGACGGCAAGCTGGCGTGGCAGCTGTGTTGTGGGCAAGCAAGAAAACTGGTCGCCCAGAGCGGCCAGCATATTCGTCTGTCTCTCGTGCTCGGCCCTCCCCTGGACCCAGCAAAACCCCTGGGGGGCGACCTTGAACGCACCGGACAACAAGCAACAAAGCGGAGCCTTGCTGCCGGGCGGGAAGGTCGAGATGAAGGCGCTGATTCTGGTCGGCGGATATGGCACGAGGCTGCGGCCTCTGACGCTCAGCTGCCCCAAGCCGCTGGTGGAGTTTGCAAACAAGCCAATGATCATCCACCAGATCCAGGTAGGAAGGACGTGCCCATGAGTTGATCGCCGTGGGGTGCCTCCACCGGCGAGTTGATTGCCCATTTCGCCGGCGGGTTCGGTTTGCAAGTCTGCTGACTGTGTTCTTGGCTTACCACTTCAGGCGCTCAAGGAAGTTGGATGCACGGAAGTGATTCTGGCAATTGCGTACCAGCCTGAGGTGCGCGCTCGCGCTTGCCGCACCTTGACGAGCAATGTACATTGGTGCGTCGTGCTCTCACAGCACATTCTACGCCACCTCAAATGAGAAGGGATTGCAACTGCTGTGCCGAGGGCGAGGACTATCATTGCTTGATCCAAGTCTGTTACGGTGGCAATAGCTGTCACTGCAGTGTCGAGTAGCCAGCTGCTCAGCGATACTTGCGACTAGGGATGGCGTTTCCCAATTCGAATTTCGCACTTCCTCACGAACCACATGCTGCTGTTATGGGACGCAGGTGATGCTGGCGTTCAAGGATGAGTGGGAGGCAAGGCTGGACATCAAGATCACCATCTCACAGGTGAGCGCAGGTGGGCGGGCGGATGCTTGGCACATATGCCGCGATGGGAAGGCACACTTGGTTTTCGGTCTTGCCATACACTGGCAGACGACACCTTTTGTGAAAATTTGACGGCTGGCGCCTGTGGGCTGGAGTTGATCTCGGATGCATTGTGCATGATCGCAGGAAAATGAGCCTATGGGTACAGCCGGTCCGTTGGCGCTGGCGCGTGACTTACTGGACGATGGGTCCAATGAGCATTTCTTCGTCCTCAACAGGTAGGCAACACGGTTGTACCTGTGGACCTGTGGACCTGTGTCCAACACCTGCCATATGTCAAGGCGATTTGGAGGGGCTCTTGCTGTAGCAGCCATAAAAACACAATGGGTCCACTTGCCTTGTGAAGGCAGGTTTGGCTTTTACAAAAGGAATTCGGTGCCTCACATCCAGAGCCCATCACTGGGAGGCGATCCAATAAGCTTCAGTGTTGCTGTTGGCCACACCACAACATAATATTGTCTCCAGCTGGTTGTCACTTGTTGCTGCTAGGATATGTAGTGGCATAAAGGCCGTTGGCACTTGTCATGCACCTGGTTGCAGCAACTGCCCGATTGTAGAGTCAATAAGTGTCCATGTTCCGGTTTCCCCAGTCTAAATGAAACCACAAGACAGCTCCTTTTTATCTCGCTGGTGAAATGTTCTGCATGCTGTACTTGGAGCCCAGCTGCAGCTATGCATCTGTGCTCCAGGCAATGGTGGTCAGCTTCTTGGCTCTGCAAAACAGCCATGCTCACAAAATACAGACATTTTGAATGTTAATTTGAACAACAGGAACTCACAGTGTCTCCATCAAAAACCGTTATTTGCTGACTCACCCAGTGTTCTTGTACTCAGTGACGTCATCTGTGAGTTCCCCCTCAATGACCTGCTGGAATTTCATAAGTCCAGGGGTGGGGAAGGCACTCTCCTTGTTACAAAGGTTGAAGATCCATCCCGGTATGGAGTCGTTGTGACTGAGGCTGATGGCAAGATCAATGCCTTCATGGAAAAACCAAAGGTGACAATCTGCTGCTCTTCACAGCACATTCGATGGGATCAACGCCAACCATGGGTACCCATCCCTGTAGCAGTTCTCCTGGCTCTGCTGTTGTCAGCAACGAAGGGGAAATCTTGCAAACCTTGTGAGATTCACCTTCAGTACCTCCATCCTTGTCGGCTTCACCTTCATTACCTTCATTAACCTGCAAGGCTTGTTTTCTCTTGCATTCGCCATTGTACTGTGGCTGTAGGAGGTGCAGTCCACCAGACAGCTTTGACATCAAATAGTGCCTGAAGAAGGACCAGCAGCACCATGGTGAAGTGTGTGATTGATGAACACATGCAAGGAAAGCCTCTGAACAGTGCTTGTGCAGGAATTCGTCAGCGATAAAATCAACGCTGGTATCTACGTACTTAGTCCCAGGATTCTGCGTCGGATTGAGTTGCGCCCAACATCGATCGAGAGGGAAGTGTTTCCAGCCGTGGCTGCGGATGGCCTGCTCTATGCAATGGTCTTGCAAGGGTACTGGATGGACATTGGTCAGCCAACCGACTTTCTCAAGGGTGAGAACGAACTGCGGCTCCATACTTCATGTGTCCTGAATAGCCACAGCATCGTGTGCCGCTGTATCGTGCCAGCTGAGCAAGCCCACAGCTTCACGCTTGACAGTACTCCTTGCTATGCTGGAGTGAAATCCGTGTCAGTAGGAGGTTTGAAAATTGTCCAATATACCTTGGGAGCTCCGGCAATTTCAGGAAGTAGCTGCTGTGCATTGCATCGGTTTTGATTCTTTTATTTCAGTATTGTGTTGATGTGTTGTGTTTCCATCTTAGGCAAGCTCATCAAAGTTCTGGATGGCTGGCCCGAGCGCTAGTTTTGGTTTTAATAACCATCTGGAGAGAAGCTGAATTTGTACATGGGAAGAGACATTCTATACAAGGCACGGTTGACCACCATGAGTGCCTGATGAACGCCATTGGATTGGGGATTGTTGTACTGATAAGTAAGATGAACCCCGTGTAGTACGAGCTGCAGGAGATGTGCTCAACTGTGGTCTTGCACTGCATTGCACTGCGTACTATTTCGCACCAATGAGACAATTCTGTTGTCTTTCCAGGCTTGAGCCTGCATCTGGAGAGCATGAACATCCACAGTCATGATTCATTGGCCAGCGGTCCCCAGTTCGTGGGAAATGTCCTCATGCACCCCTCTGCCAAAATCGGTGAGGACTGTTTGATCGGTCCCGACGTGGCCATTGGCGAAGACTGCGAGATAGGCGACGGTGTGCGGTTGAGTACTTGCGTGCTGATGCGTGGAGTGAAGGTGAAAAAATATGCTAAAGTAGTGAACTCCATTGTTGGTTGGCATTCACGTATTGGGGCATGGAGCCGTGTCGAGAACAAGACCATCCTTGGAGAGAATGTTGGAGTGAAGGTGAGCCGATTGGTGTCACACAAATTAGGAGTCTGTTAATGAGATGCACCCAACAAGCAAGCACTGAAATTGAGAGGAACAAGTTGCCAATTGCTCTGCATCTTAGCCTTGTACACTTCGAGACAACTGGTGTGCCTATGAGTTCCTTATTCACAGTTTGAACCCGGGTCTGGATGAGCAATGTACCCTGTGGAGTGGCGAAATGCAGGTATATGCCAACTATCAATGTGCAAAATTGCCTGCGCAGGCGAGATTGAGGAATGAAGCAGACAGTGTAGAATCCGCTCGAACCACGCTCTTGCAGCACTCCTGTGCCTAGATTGACATCTCTTGCGCAAAATGGAGGTGCTGGCAGCTCCTTTCTGCGTGCCTAGCTTTCCTGCCACTGTCCAGCAAACAACACTGTCACAAGGCAACGCTGCGTGCCATGCAGCATTCAGTGTGAACGGAAAGAGAGGATTAATGTTTCATACCCCGTGTCATTGATAATTGTGGCTGTACTGCAGGACGAGCTCTATGTGAATGGAGCCATTGTGCTGCCGCACAAGGATGTCAAAGAGTCCATCCAGAATCCCCAAATTGTTCTGTAGGGAACAGGATGCCGGGCCAGGGGACGGAGAAAAGGGGGGGTGGGGATCTGCAAACGAATATTCATAGGGTCATTTGGGATCAAGGCTTTGTTTGCTTCACAATTTCACAGTTGAACTTCGGGCTCACTTGTCTCCTCGACCTCCACGACAGGATGCTCCAGGCTATGCCCTGTGCTTGGCGCCCAAGCAAACGTCTTAATAGACGGGTGTCAAGCGAACGTCTTAATGTATTATTAGTAGGATTGATAAACTAGTATTAGCATTAATTTATGGTTACATGTATTGACAACCTGTGGAATTAAATGGCTGCACAAGAACTGTGCCCTCCTTGTATCTTCCCAAAGTGCCCAAAATTAACATCAGAATTGGCCACTACTGAAAGCCTGACAATATGCAGACACCTTTAATGCCAAGTGCATTGTGGCGAGGGATGAATCAGTCCACTTAGTGGTGCATTCTGAGGCGCAGCGCATCAGTTATGGGCATGACACACCCAATCAAAAATGGAATCAATGGAAAAACATGGCACTGTTGGGTGGAGCGCAAAGGCTTGGGGAGGCTCATGGGCGGGGATGAAAATGGTGGGAATGGAACTGTACACAGAAGATTGTTGCGTCAACGAATGTTGTTGCTGGTGGCCTTCTTTGGCAGTCGTTCCTGCATTCCGTGAGGGTGAAGATGGCCGTCCCAAAGTGAAGAGAACTCCACGATTTTTACATGGCGAGGTGTGATGGATTGTTTTGCAAAAAATGTTGGAACACACCTCAAATATCATCCCCCTTCACCTTGTGCAGGCCACGAGGCCGTGCTCGTTACGAATGCGGCCCTGACGTTCACCAAGATGATCCCGTCCGGCCAATAGACGACAAAATACCTGCTTCTAAATCATCCACCCGCGTCGAAGTACATGCGGGTATCCCTGTAGGTGCGGTGCTGCATACCGTCGGCCCTGTCCTGTCCTGTTTAGGCCGCCACCTGGGCGCTGTACCACCTGACGGGTGTCTGTCCCAGTGTTGTTGCACGAACACCGAACACAGGTGATTTGAGGAAAGCCGACCAACACAAAACCAAAGATGAACGACGCCTCTGCCTCAGACTCAAAGGCGCGTGGAGGCAGCACATATCGAAGCCGCTGTGCAAATCCAAGCCGCGGCGCGTATCCAACGGTTGGACTCCAACTCCCCTGTCCGTCCCCAAACCTCCCGGGGTATTCGCGCCCAGTGATCGCGTCAGGCTCAGTTCAGCGCAGTGGAAAATCGCGTGGCCGTGTCTCCACAATCCGGGATGGCCGTGGCACAGCAGTGCATCGCCTCAAGCCAGCCGAAGGCGAGTTCACCCACCTGGGTGCACGCCGCCCTCTTCACCATCAGGCGGGGGCTCCAGGCCACTGCCCATCAGTCTAAAGGCGATGTCCACGATCCACTGCATGGTGAGCATCCTGCTGGCGGGCAGATCTTCCCGGGTGGGTATGGTGATACTTCGGAGTTGTGCTACGGAGGCATAAGTCGTCGGACCAGCCTGGACGGCTGACCGCCTGTCAAGCCAACCGCCCGCGCAGCCCATCGTCCGAACGGCCCTGGTCCCCGGGGCCCGCATGCGGACGGCTCTCGCCCCGTGGGCCAGCCGCTCCCACGTACTGAGCCACGGCCAGTTTGTCATTTACCAGCTGTTTGCGCGTCCCGCGCCCGACCTGAAAGGCCGCTCTTTACGCGCCGAGAGCACTAGTAACAGTCAGGGGCCTGACTGTGATTTGGCTGGGACTTGGGGGGTTTCGGGTTGTGCGCTCAGGCCAGGACTCTGGCTGTGATTTACATTGCTGACTTTTCATTGCACGCTCGAAATGCGGGGTCCGGCCTTCAGAGTTGCACAACACTTGGGCTACAAATGCGATCAAGTGTTCTAGCGTTGTCAACCTGGTTGTGTTGTTGCTGCACCGCAGCTGCCTTGACTATCGCCAGGGATCACAACAAGTTGATGTCTTTGCAGATCTCCTTTCAATGTCGGTTACAGTGCCTGGATAAGACCAGCGATATTTGCCCAGTTCACATTGCTTCTTTCTGCGATGAAGCAAACCTGAATTGCAGACGTTCGTGCACTTGCAACTTCTACTGGTGTATTGGCAAGACTGTCAGTGTGAGTTTGAGTGGTGTTAGTATCATTGTCAGTACTGTTACTAGCATCTGCGGCGGTACTGTGCATCAAAGTGCCAAGATGCGGGATCCACAATTATTCATGTCCTTTTGAATTTAGTGCAATTTCATGATCTTTTGGCGCCCATGCCTGGACCCCTCCCCCCCTTAGCGCCCATTTGACGCTAAGCATACCACATTCTAAATGGTGTCTTCCCTAAGGATTGGAAGGCTAACATGGGAGAACTAGCCAATCCAAATTTGGTGCTTCCGGAAACAGAAAACTAGGTTGAATGAAGAGCAACTGGGGTCTCCATTGGAGACTCTCCATCGCAGGTGTTGAAGATGGTCATTTTGAATGTCAATACATACAAATCAATCCCGCACTCAATTCTTGAGACAACCAACTCGAGTGCAACAAGGGCGCCCTCGTCCATAAGGGAATCCTTACAGGATTTTGTGCAGGGACTCAGTACGCTAATGTCCGTAGCAAGCGTGAATCATGCATGCATGAATGTCGTGGGCTACACACCCCCCGAGCCCTGGGATTGCTCCCAATGGCCAAGCTCTGCATCCCCCGCAAGCAGTACATGTTCAAATCTCCAAACCGAAAGCACAAACAATCACAAGCAGCCGCTTCATGAGGCAACAGTGTCAATGTCGAATGGCATCTCTTGTCATTGCAGCATTTCGCCAAGCTTTTATTTTGGTTTAGACCGCCCGTCATGTGCATTGGTTTTTGCTGAATTCTACGACACCCCTAAACACCTGACCTCATTTCGCCGATTTCAACGAAAATAAATTCACCTCCCCCTTGACTACTCGTGTTCCACCATCTCGCACTGGAACGCTGTGCACCACCTCTCCGCAGTGCGCGAAACAGCCCCACGCGCTCCTGCTTCGGAGCACCTCCGTCTGCCCGACCCTCTTCCTTCCGTCCAAAGCGCACCACCAACTGCTCTGCCACCCCAACTCCGTTTGCCTCACCGGCCACGTGGCCATCAACGCCGCACGAAATGACCTGCCACCGAAATGCCACCCAAGGGGCCAAGGAGATCCGTCCTCTCTTTCCGCGCCCGTGCCCCCCACATCCCTGCCACGCTCCCCGCCCCCCCACGCCCCCCGCTCCCCACGCCCAAGGCACAGGCAAATCTCGCTGCGGCGGTGGGCCTCGCCCCCCCCCCCCCCCCCCCGGCCCCGCCCCCGCGCCATGGACAAGGGAGAGCTCGACCTCTCCGTGCTGGACGCCGGCGGGCGGGGCTACCTGGACTTCCTCCACGACGAGGTGCTCGCGCTCGAGGGGGGCAGCGTCAGCGGCGGCGGATCCCAGGCGGCCGATGCCGACGGCGCCGGCGGCGGCGTGAAGCGCGAGCGCGACGCCGATGAGTCGGAATCGGAGGAGGGCCAGGAGGCGTCGGCGAGCGGGAAGGCCGGTCGGCCGGACGGCAGGGCCGGGCGGAGCAAGGCATGCAGGGAAAAGGCGCGGCGGGAGCGCATCAACGAGCGGTGGGGGCTAGGAGGGGTCCCGGGCGGGCGGAAAGGCGTGCATCGCCGTTTGCGGGCGTCCGTTTGGCTCTTCGTGCGCGGCGCGGGGTGATTAATTAATCCGTCAGTCTGGGACACTGCACGGTTGGGTTCCGGTCTTGCGTTGTCCGCTTGTGTGCGGGGATGGTGTCCGCTTGTGTCCCCTTGGATTGATGCGCTTGCGCCGGAAAGCCAGGGGCCCTGTTGGTGGTGTCCGGCGGCTCCAAGCAAGGGAGCGCCCTGGAAGGCAAGGGTGGTTGGGCGGTTGGACTGGAGGGTTTATGTTGATCGACGTGGGTTGGGTGTTGTGGCACCAGCTTCCAGGAACTGGCGAAGCTCTGCGACCCTGAAGACCCCAAGACCGACAAGGCGTCCATTCTGGCGGAGGGAATAAAGATCATCACCCAGCTGAAGGTTGAAGCCGGCCAGCTGCGCCAGTTGAACAAATTCCTGGAGGTTTGTGCGTTGCTTGATTGGATTCGTCTAGAACTCGTGAATCAAAAGACTCGCAAGGCGATGTGACTCCACGTGCACATTGGTTCAAATGCGAACTCGTTCGAGCTCAAGTCGCATCGCAACTCAAACCAAGCTGAAACGCCACAATCCAAGTTCCTGGAGGTGTGGTGATGGGAAACCAAGGGACCTCGTCTCCACAGTTTGCAGCCTGAACAAACAGTGCGATCATTTCTGGTTCGTTTGGTGCTTGACTTGACATTCGGTTACATTTCAGTATTGCTCATGGTTGCACTTGACGACTGTGGTGTGGTGGCATCCTGGCCATGGCCTCATCTGACCCGGGCAGTCACCTGGTAGTTCGAAAGCCTAGTTGCTGTGTCCTCTTGTAGCAATTGTGGAGGCGGTTTGCTGGGAAAGGAAACACGAATTCTGTCTACATTCTTTGTTTATTCTGGGAACGCTACCAGACATCGCCACATGGTGAAAGGACTTGTTTTGTCATGTTTGTCACAAGAGTAAGGCCCGGATTGAAGCGCCTTCACCTGTCTCCTGTGACAGGAACGAGTTGGAAATCATGAGAAGGAGAAAGGCCAGAGCCTGTACCAGCAGAGCTTGATGCTCCAGGGGCAGTTCCAACAAGCAATGCAACCACCACAGCAGCCAGCCATGCCATGTCCTCTGAACACAATTCCCCAGGGAGGTTATCAGGTCGCCATTGGGCTGCCTGCATCAGGTGTGCCATGCAGTATGCGATCGCAGGTGTATGACAAATGCAAACAATGGTGGGCAAATCGTCGGTGGCCAGCAAACTCTGCAAAATTGAATTGGAAGCCAGGTAGCCATGCATCCATGCCCTTTCTCCAGCAGGGAGTACCACTGCCCTTGTGGTGTGTTCATTCTGTTGAACAGCACAGCCGTTGAGGTGGACCGGGCATTTAGTCATGGCCTCAAATGTCTCCCCTTCAGAATTTATGCAAATATGGTCAGCTTTTAGGCAAGCATTGTAAGGGGGTTCTCTTACAGGATGCCAGATCACAATACAGCAGCAAATGATCATTTCATTGGATCCAGCATGAGGATGGCCAGCCAGCTACCTCCCCTGGTTTGTTCTCTGCATACACCCTGTTTCCCAGCCCATAGTCATTGCATTGATTCCTGTCACCAGGCAGGCACCCAGAAGCCTCTGAGACTTGAAAGCAAACAACTTGAGTATTTCAGGAATGTACACAAGTTGCTGCACCCAGAGCTCTAGCTTGCGTCCAACTCGAATCTGATGATGCAGGCATGCCGAGCACATCCACAATGGGTGCTGTCAATCCCATGGCTCCCTGCCCAGGGGTGTCAGAGGGGGTTCCCCAGGCTTCCACACAACCAGAGGTGTCAGCTGCTTTGGGGACGCCTGCCCCTGGCTTTGTGCAGCCTGGCGTGGCTATGCCCAATGTCCCCAACTACGCAGGCCCCATGTCCTGGATGCCCTTCATGGACACCAGCCAAGACCACCTGTTGCGGCCACCAGCAGCCTGAGAGCTTGAGGGACTTGGCACAGTCCAGACAAGATGGCCATAGGGAAGTCTTTGGCGACGCTGGTCTGGGCCTGTTTTGTTGCCCACGACATAGTTGTTAGTGCCGATGTGTGCACGGTGTGCAGAGACTAGGTAGAATCTTGGGACATCAGTATGTAGGTTGACAGTATGGGCGAATTGTTGGTGACTGTTCAGGGGGTCAACTAGGAAGTTGATTCCGGCACTCTGGAGTGTGACCTACTGGAATTCTGTTCATGGCCCGTGCGACGAGCATGTTCAGCACGGACATGCTGGACGACGGAATGCGTACAGCAGGTCTAACCAGCAGCTACAATAGGCTGCGTCCTTGGGCATTGTCGATGAGCTGTGTGTGTGCCAACAAGGACTGTAGCTGACACTGCCTAAAATTACCAATGCACTATGAAAGAACCATTGTCTCTGGCAGGACTCGTTCAACCTGTCTTGCTTGGCAAGCGATTCCTGAGACTGGTAGGTATACGCATCTGCAGTCTCTGAACTGTGGCTGACAGACATGCCAAGATGCTACAGTAGTGCTGGAGTGTGTCGTGGACCATGGATGGGGTGGGGCAAACTGATCGCGTTCACATTTTCCGTTCCAGAGTGCTGCAGAAATGAATGCCCATCGAACGATAGATCAGCGAGAATGGGCCTCCTGCTCCTGCAAACGGCCTCCACCTTTATCGTTGTTGGGGAGCCAGTGCTCTGTCCTAAAATGCATTCAGGTTTGGCGCATGTTTACTGGCGACTGGCCAGATGCGCTGCTTGTGGGAGTGTGTCACGTGTGTTTAGACACCGGGAGAATATTTCATGCGTTGGAGCTCCCTTCCTGAGAACAGTAGACTGGGGTCGTTTCTTTTTGCAAAAGGGGCCACCGACACCAAGAATCAAACCCGGCAAACGAACGTGCACGAAAGCAACTACTGCATAGTTGTGTGTGACTGGAAAGGCGGATTACAAAATTTGGTGTTGAAGGCGCTGTGCGCGGCGAGCGCACGGAGCTTGAGGTTTCCGATGCGCTGGTGCGGGACGGTGAGCATGCAAATGACAACCGCTGATGACTGGGAATGCACGGGTGGCGAACGTCTGCGGGCGTCAGCTCTCGCTCCCCAGTCGCCATGCGCTTCGCAGAATCCATACTTTCAGCGCTCCACATCAACAACACCGAGGGAGCGCATCACTCGTCCAGATCCCAATGACGGGCATCCTCGTCCTGCCACGCCCTGAAAAGTCAGTCGCTTGATCTCAGATCTCCACAATCGCTCCCGTTCGTCCGCCATACGCCCCTCACTCATCTCTGACTGGCCAGGGCCAACATCTCTGGGTCTCAACCTGCCACCCCCAGTGGCATGGCATCCGGGGCCGTTCAACCCAGATGTCAGACTCGGAGACGGGCCCCATCGCATGCACCGCCGTCATATGTCGCAGCACGGGTGCACGGGGTTGGGCTTGGCGGAGCGCGGGGCCAACACCCGCATCCGTGCTCGGAAACGCAGCGCGCACAGCAGCCCGGAGAACACCGTGGTGGGGATCAGACTTTCGGGCGCGTCGGAAACAGCATCGGGTGCCCCAGCAACGGGGCACGGGCGGGGCGGCGTGGCAATTGAGGCCGATGGACGCTTACTGCGCCCTGCCAAGTACACGCGGCATGTCAGTCCGATCACCAGCCCTGTGGCTTTCGGGACGCGCGCCAGCGGCTCGTTTGTCCTTTCGCCTCCGTGAGCTTTCGGTGGGGCCAAACAGTGCTTCGGATCAACGTAGCACCGTGAGCCTGTGTAGCAGTCGATCTGCTGCCCAACGCCCGCTTGCACGCTGAGGTGGATGCGCCATGGTTCAGATCGACAGACTCATGGCGACGTTTGGGCGCATTGAATCGACGTTTTGGGACGCTGTAGGCGCAGATCAGGCTCATGCGCGATGGTGCTGCGGTACGCAAAGTCGCGGGAAGTGGTTCGCGTTCGCGCTGGCGTGAACGGCTGACTCGTTTGGACAGCTGTTTCCAGCGGCTGCGATTCCAACCCGCCTTTTGCCAATGGAGCCGGTCGCCTGGTGGCAGCCGAAGGCGGTCGCCTGTTGGCGTTGGCGTTGATCTGTGTTTCACGGCCCACTCGTGTTCCCCGGTCCAGTTCGGCAACCGGAGGCACCACCAATGCTTTCGCTGGTCTCGCGGTTCGGTGATCTCCTGTCCGCGTCCCTAAGCATCGGCAGCGCGGGGTCCCAGCCATTGTCTCCTTTCGTGCCTGCAATTGGGTTCATGGCGCAGCGGGGTTTAGTAATCGCCGTTGGCCGCCCGCGTTTCGGCGCTTCCGGTCCGCGGCCCGCTTTGAGGAAAACCGTTGGGCCGACACGGCATGGGCGGACAGGGCTGGGTATGGTTGCCACGGATTGCGTTGCTGCTCACCTACGGAATGAACTGGGCGCTGGGGCGTTCCAGCTGTGGCTTCTGGGCTCCTTCCACACAAGGACCCAACTATAGTATTTGCGCGCTTGTGATGGTAAGGGGGCCGAAGCCCCGGAACCCGTGTTCCCTGACCAAGGAGCGAGAGCCTCAGGCCTGAGAATTAGCTGGCATTGTCGCAGCACATTGCCAACCAGGCGACTGCAAGATAGTGGTGCAGTCAACTCAGGGTGGGGTGAGAGAGTTTTAGGTGTTAGGTATTCAAGCCCTGTGATCTGTACACTAAATGGATGGTCTTCGAGCGTACAAATGCTGCCTCAGTCCATGAAATGGCAGTCCTGGTGGTTGCACGGAGTGGGAAACAACAATATGCATTGCAAGTAGCTGGGAACAACCGTGCCAAGTTCACGACTTGTCCAACATTCAACGACAGCACTGTACCTCTGTTCCAGCTCATATGTCAATGGTGACCAGATGCTGACGGACAATTTTGGCCTTTGATGGGCGGAAATTGTCAAGACCTTTTGACACAACACAGCCAACACGATGGTCTCAATCATGAGACTGGTCAACCTTTTGCATCATAACAGGGCCCACAAGAGAAGCAAGGCCACCGTGCCACAGGGTGCAAGGAGAGTCGTGAGGCTGTGGTGGAGAAAGATGACAATGATCGGAAACGCACAGCCCCCAAGGTACAGCCCCATACAACGCAAGCCTGCCATGCTGTGAAGAACCTGAAATTTTCCAAACATGAAATCTAAATTGCTGTGTCAGTGCAAGTGTGCTCCACTGTGGGTGCAGGCACTCAGCACCATTTTGTACGTGACAATATAACGACTGGCATCGCACCCAATAGTTTGGCACGGTTTCTTTGTTTCTATGGTCTCTTGGCCCGAACGTGCTCGGGTATGCTGGAATCATTGAGATGGACAAAACCGGTGTCCAAGAAATTCCAACCAGGCAGTTGAACTTCAACTTGCATCAGGGCGCCTGGTGTCATCCCAAGCGTCAACATGCCACGGCCAGGAGGCAATTTTGCACCCTCATCGGTTCGCCTGGAGCCTGCCTTGGCGACACGCCCCTTTTTTCCAGCTCGCATGGGTCGTCATGGCACTTTCCTCCAGTTTCTGTCCCTTCCTATCGCCCCTTCAAACGAAAACGACAGCCCATGCAACTTCGGAACGCGCCCAAATAGTCGCATTCAAGTGCACAGCAACGGCCCCTTGACACAAGCACCTACCCCCTGACGCTGCGCTCGGTCTCTCTACAGGCACCTGCCCATGGGCTCCAAGAGGTGGCTGGGCTTCGTCAGCCGGTGGGGCAGCGTGTGCATGACCGCGCTGACGGCCGTCTCCCTCCTGTGCGTCTTGTACTTAACGCTCTACGGCTGGCGCACGGCGCACGCGCCGGACGGCGCGGGCGAGGCACCAGGCGAGGACCCGCCGCAGGTGGGTGTGCTCGATGGCCTGGACCCCGATCGACGATACTCCGGTCGAGCGTGGATCCTGCGAAAGCCAAGACCCTGAAGTACTGGAGCTGACTGCGACGACAGTGTGCATGAGCACTCGAAGTGAAGGCCCCGGGGGAGAATACACTAGTCCCTCCGTCTTTTCCGTGAGGATCCCTTCTTCCGCTGACAAGGCCAACGCCGGTCAGTGGTTTAGTGTTTGGGGTGTTCGAGACAAGCAGGGATCTTCACGGAAAGACTGAGCGGCCAACTTCATGCTGGCCTGGGGCCTCCTGAAGGCCCCAATCAGCAAGTTGCTCGGCTTCGCTGTGGCAGCCGCCACCCCATTTTCGTCATGCTGGAGTTGTAAGAAAGTTTTTTGCGTATTACTTCGCGGGTGGATCCTTAACACGCCGTTGTGCTGAGAGTTTGTGAAAACCGAGTCCCAAGCTGCACTACCGCCAGCTTCAGCAAACAACCATGACGTATGGCATAAATGCTGGGCGAGGCGTGCCAGCCTGGGCACCTGGCCCGC